TAAATGTAAATGAGTTAACTAAATAACTTATAAAAAATATAAGGTTAACAATAAATAAAAATAAACTTTAAAAATATATAAGGTTAACAAAATACAAATAAACATGTGAATAAGACAAATATATAAGGGAAGCCCATAATTCAGGGTTTTTTATGTCCAAACCGTCCTTCAATAATGTATTTCCAGGCTGAGGGTAATGCGTTTGCATCTCTCGCAACCAGGCACTGCTCTTTGATCTTGCTCTTGTAAATCTCTATTTTTTCCATATCCATAGCGATGGTTGAAGAATGTACCTTTTTAATGATTTTCGCTTCATCCCACTTTATGACAGAGCCTTCCACCCGTGATATTGCCGCTAAAACTATATTACTATGGCCTTTTTCTATATTGTGCTTGTGTTCCTTGAGTTGCACCATGAGGTTTCTTTTTGTAACTCCACCGTAATCCATTTAAACCCCTAGCTGTTGGTTTTCATAAGGTATTTTGTGTACTCCAGCCTGTTCTTCTTTCATTAGTTTGTCTTTATCATTTCTCGGTAAGTTGTAAATGTTAAGAGTTCTTTTGTAAACTATCTTCGACTTTTTGTAAGTTGCTAGCTCATTTATGGGTGCCTCATAACCGTTTGTTTTATGTGAATTTATTAATTCTATCAATTTTTTTGGAGACTTATCTTTATTCTTTTCATAACGCCTGACGAGTCCATCTATAGAGAATGTTCTGTATCCTAAAGTTGTAGCAATTTCTTTAATTCTATTCATTTCTCTCAACCGGTCCTGTATATTGGAACAATATAAAAAAGGCTTTTCTAACCAGTGCTCTGAATGCAGAAAGTTTATACATGTAAGGGTCATTAGACTATGATGGGTTGCATAGAGGAGCATAAGTTGGTTTGATATATACATCAGTATAAATCAGTGGCGTGGGCCATCATTGGAAGCGGTGGACGCGCCGCTTTCCTTGTATTTTCTAAAAAATAAATACATATTAATTTTAATTATATGAAAATAATTGCACAGTATTTTATTATAACCGCATTATGTATCTTATTACAAATTTCTATACTACACGTGAAAAAAAGATAAGATTGCTATTGTATATTCGAATATTAGTGGTGGAGTGGAATCTCTGTATTGTCAGATTCCAAAAAGCCAGATTCGCGCATGCGCTTTACAAAGCACCAACCTCGCCCGGTTTAACCGGTGAAAGCCTACGACCTTGGGTTGATGCTACACATATAACGCTTCCAAGTCTATCTGGGACCGGTTCTCGGCTGTTAGCAGCTCGTCCGCTAGATATTTTGCCGATTACGCGAATCACGATTAGATTTATAACTTAACCCAACCGATAAGAATTTACTGGTAGGCCTATGTTTTTACGATAGTTCTGTATAGTTGACAGGAGTTTAAAAAATCCATTAAAATATTTAATATTTTTATTTCGCTCTCCGGTTTTATATTACTCACGGATTTCAATGTTAAACTAGTGATATTGCGATTTCGTATATCTCATCATTAAGGGGACGTAGAAAAAAACGTGTACAATTCTTGTATAATGTTAAAAAATTCACTGTTACTTTGACAGCATCATTTACAACTAAATTTAATGAATGAGAGAGACACACGAGGTACAGAAAAAGCTCTATAATTTATTTTCCTTAAATTTACGATTTATGTATCCGTTGTCATAAAAATTTGTCTTTCCACTTTTTCCCCGAGACCACAAATATTTGAGTACAAAGTAACCGATTTCGACTTATTTCTACTTAAGAAGTAGTAAAATAATTAAACGATTAGGGAATTGGGGACATAAATAAACCCTAACATATTTAGATTTTTACAACTATGGTGAGAAACGTTTAAAATATACAACAACCCTGTCGCGTCCTTTGAGGTATAATAGTGATGCGACAAAAGAGGCATTTGACATTGACCGGTATCGACACCCTCGGGATTTGGCAGCCCGTGTGCATGCACCTACCAGGACCATCTTTGATTCCATCCATTAGTCACTCGTAGGGAGCTATTTGACCAAGTTTTGTTTTAAGATTTAAAAAGTAAAGAAGATTTTATGTTATTTTTATGTACGTTTCTTTACAAAGTTGTATTTAATTATAATTTTCTTTAAAAGTATATTAATGTAATTGAAGAATATTTTGTACCGGGTATGTACTGTACAGTACATCCACCACACATTTTATTTCACCAAGTAAGTTTTTATTATTTTATTTATAATTTTAGCCCTTATATCGTCGCTAGCGATTCAGTATGTAATTGTGATATTAAAAATGCATTTAGAGATGTCTACAGTTTTTATTGGCTTATTGAACAAACGATACGAATGGACGGACCCTAGATAATCACTGACGCTCAAGTAACTGATTGCCCTGGAAGTCGGCTTCTTACGGAAACACAGCTTCCCTATCATTAAATGTCACGGCACGCCACTGGTATAAATACCTCCATTCGTAAACTGGATGTTAATGTCTAAAGACGTGCAGACAACAAGTGCTCTGTTGTTCAAGTTGTGCTATTAAAGATTCACTGCATATTATTAAATAATCATGTATACATCTATAAAGAAAAACAATACTGCTTACTTAAGAAATTTTTGTATTTATATCACTTATAATTATTTTGGCAAGTTTAGGTCCAACAAAAGACCCCATTGCAAAACTATTCATCTGTTCAAACACTATATTATCGTACACAAAAAAATTTTTTATCTAATACAAATGTTATCCAAGCAGTTCGTTACTTTATTTTTCCTTTAATGTGTGTGGTCCTGATCAGGTCAGAAACCTCAACCAAAATTTGTTTGAAAAGAGAAAATTGTTTTATACAAAAATGTCCGATTTACGGGCGAAATCGCGACAATTCAATAAATATCTCTGACGGGTGTCTGATCCTCGAATTCAATTTCGATTAGCCCCTAGTTTGTGGCCCGCTGGCCACAAACTTGGGGCTAATCGAAAAAAAGGAAGACAGTGATCACGACCAACTAGATCGGCCAATTCGGCGATGACGAACCTTTAAAAAGCCCGAAACTCAAGGACATGAAGGTTTTTCCCATTCCAAGACATTCTCCTTATATAAAAGTGATACATACTACGTTTGTCCTTCAGTTTAATAGTTCCTTCAATTCCTTTTATGTGTGCACCAGAGCACGCCCAGAGGGTGAGCCAAAAGGCCATAACACACCCAAAGTAAAAGGAAAAAAGAAACACTAGTAAATTTTCCAAAACTATATTCCAAATTAAAATTCACTTTTTTATTTTTGTTGTATCATGTGTTCACGCTTTCACAGCAATGTCGTGCCAGGCTTCCCGTGGAGGCGTGAATTGGCCGACGTGTTACGATAACAGGAACGACAGGAGTGCAGGTTTTTTTACTATACAAAATAACAATCATACCCATCACTCGGGATCCAGGTCTATGCCGTACAGGTCTGGGACCACATGGCCGCCAAAGGCTATAACCGTAAAAATCTGTTATCTGTTCAAAGGATTGCAGCTCTCACACATATGTAAGGCTTATAGGACCGCACTCACTAGTGTACTTTTGGTAATGTCAGGGTTGACTTCTATCGACTTAGAAATTAAACGCATTATTTGGCAGGAAAATCTCGTCACCTTACCCTGACGAGATTATAGCGACTCGGATGTCGACAAAATGGTTACAGTAGGTAAGATTCCTCCCCAGTTTGACCTTGATAGATGATATGAAAAAATTCAGCATCGACAAAAATACTCTCTCGACTTGCGATTACCACCCTTCCCATCGGCTTACCCCTGACGTTTACTTCGAAGATCCAGGTGATCATCCCATGTTTAGGATTTACACTGACGGTTCTAAGATGGGTGACAAAGTGGGTGCCAGTTTTGCTTTTGTAGTTTACTTCGACTTAGGCCGAGAGCTTCACAACGCTTACTTCCATTAGATACAGGCTGCTCAATAGCACAGGCGGAAACTTTAGTTATTTATATGAGCTTAATTCACATTAGGCGTAGGAAGGACAAAAGACAGTACTTACATTATCGCATTTATTCTGACGATAGGGTAGCTTTACACAGGATTGCGAAGTCTGATAACCGCTTAAAACTCGTCCATTTCATACACCACATTCTCAGACACTTAGACAACAACATTAGAATAGATTCCTAATGGTTACCGGGTCATGCAGGGGTTCTCGGCAACGAGACCGCTGACCGTCTTGCCAAACAAGCTGAAAAGTGTTGAGTCACTAGTACTTTCAGTTACATTCCTACATCGTACATCAACAATCACGTCAAGAAGCAAATCTTCATTCTCTGGCAAGACAGCTGGGACCTTGACACCACTGGTGGGCTCATCTACACTTTCATCCCCAAGGTTGACACTACTGCGATTCTTCGCCACTTTTACCCTAGTTACACCTTCACTCACCTACTTACAGGACACGGCAACTTTAAGCAATACTTGCATAGATTTAATCTTGGAGACAATCTACAATGACAATGTGATATTCATGAGGACCAAACACCGCTTCACTTAGTTTTTCGCTGCAATAGGTACCGTACAATCACATTAGGGATAGTTTAATGAGAGCTGCTATTCTTGAAGGGTACAACTGGCTTTGCAACCCGTACCAATTCATTCACATGCGTACCGTTTCATCATCTATTCGCATTCATATCCCGTAGCGGGGCTCTTGAGAGCACTCACTCCGGGGGCACGGATGGCAATAGCTTTCCATTGCTTTATATCAACTGTGGGTATATAGTTGCCTTCCAACTTTGTATTTTAATTATTTTCCGTATTATTTTCAGTCTAAATTCTATTAGTTTAAGTTAGTCCTAGTTGTAAGTTTGATTAGGGACTCAGCTTGGTTTCCGGTTAGGTTACGATAAGTTAGGTTATATTAGATTAGGGTTGTTAGGTTTAGTCGTCTGATTAGGTTATGGTAGTTTAGTTAGTGAGTAAATTAATGTTTAAAAAAATAAATAAATAAAATAAAAAATTTACTAATTGTAGCTGTATATTCGTTCAGTCAATGGTTGTCTCTTTAATCCGAAAATATTTCTCTCGGTAGACTATGTTACAGCAAGTCAGGTCCAGAAACTCTTTATTGTATTTTCAATTCATATGCATTTCGAACTAATTTCATTTTTCAGTTCCTCTTCAGTGCTCTACAATTACAATTACAGAATTATTAGAGATATTCAGTACTCTAGAATTACAATTACAGAATTATAATTACAGATATTGAGTTTACAAAAATACAGATTTAAAAAAAATGTGTAGAGATGTCAAATAACACAACGGAAACATTATTACTAGTACCTTTAAGAACTTTACAGACTTTTTTTTCCGAGTTACATTCATACGGTACTTGCATTTATCATATTAAATGATCCTTCTTGGCGTAAACCTTAATATGATTAAACAATCTCTATAAATACAAATTAAAAATTAAAATGAGTAGAGATGTCAAATAACACAATGGAAACATTATTACCAGTACCTTTAAGAACTTTACACACTTCTTTTTCCCGAGTTACATTCATACGGTACTTGTATTTATCATATGAAATTATCCTTCTTGGCGTAAACCGTAATATGATTAAACAATCTCTATAAATAATAATAATACAATCATAAAACCTATTTACAAATAAGTAATATAAAAACCTATTTGAAAAACCTTTTTTAAAAATTTAAATATACATACAGGTTTTTTTTCTTTTATATTTAAAAATATTCTATTAAATCGATAGTTCCGTGTGTAAAACGTAATATAATGCAAATATTGCTAAAAAAATAAATGTACAATTATAAACTCAGTAATAAGTAAGTTTTAAAATTTTTTACAAAAAATAGTTACATTTATTAGATTGTAAACATTATTATTGTAATCAAGTTGGAAGAATTGCTCCTAATAATATTTTTGTGGGATCTAACATTCAAAGAAAATATAGATTTTGGGGTGATCTTTTTCGTAATGTAACTCCTATTTTATCAAAAGCAAGAAAATATGTAGGGGAAAATGTTTTAAAAACAGGTAGTGATTTTATATCAGATGTAATATGTGAAAAATCATTTGAAGAATCAGCTAAATCTAAATTAAGAGAAATAGGAAGTGAAATTGGAAGTCATTTTTTTAGAAAAACTGCAACAAGGATCAGGTTTAAGAAGAAAGAGAAAGTGATCAAATAAACAGACAAAAACTATTATCAAGAAGAGAAGACAGAAGACAAAAACTTTATAACATATTTATTAAATAAATCAATATTTCATATATTTAATAAATCTGTTATAAAGTTTTTAATTTCTGGATCAGGTGAGCATTATATTGACATTGAGCATACATTTATATATTTGCAACTTTAAATATTAATTAATTAAAAAGGAGAATGGTTCAAATTTATCAGAAGCCGATAAAGCTGCATCTATGAATTATATATTAAATACATTACTTTCTCAAAGTATTGTATTTTTAAATGATAAACAAGTTTCATTGTTACACATTATCCATATTATTGTATTTATATATCATTCAAAACAGAAACAAGAAATGTTATTATCTACAGGGCTATTTTTTAAAGATTCACATGGAGCTTATGATCAAAATGATCTAACATTAAAACTATTGTAAATTATTGATCGATATTAATCAATATAATAGTAATCATGACATTAATATTACAATGAAAGATTATAAAAATGAATTATCATTGTATTGTTTTGATATAACTCCAAATTATGATGCAAGCTGGAATCATGTTAGTATTATTCAACATGATAATTTATCAATAGAAATGAAATTTAATGAAGCTTTAGAATTTAGATCATACAGTAAAGGTTGTTGTATATGTAGAATTTAGAAATACAATACAATAGAAATTGATAAATCAAAAGGAATATATTTGAATTATTAAAAATATTGTAACATTAGAACGAAATGGATACTTTAACCTCTTTTTGGAGATAAACATGCAGTGATGAGTATACTTGTATAAGATTTAGTGGTTTACATGCATTGAATCAATTAACAAAAATAGAAGCAAATTTTGTTCATTTATTATAAACTTAGATCCAAATAATTAACCTGGAAATCACTGTATTGATGTTCACTTTATTAATACAAAATGCTATTACTTTGATAGTTATGGAGTACTAATATAGTCAAAATTTATTGTATGTATTATTTGATGAAAATAAATTAAAAATTTTTTAAAATTTCATAAGTAGTAATTTAAAATAATTACTACTTATGAAATTTTAAAAAATTTTCAATTTCTTACTTCTTACTCAAATTTTAATACACAAAACACAATTTTATTTTTTATAAAATAAGTTTTTATTTAAAACAAGATTTACTGTACAAATTAATATGTTTTATCGTAATAAAAATAGATTCTATTAACATTCAATTCATTTACATAAATGTTATTAATACCATGAAAAATAATATTTAGTATTAATCATTACAGATATAAAATAAATTACTTTGCAGATAAAATTATATTTAGTTATTGGTCAGTTTATACTTAAAAAATTACACGATTTTTTTTAAAGTTCACAAGTAAAATTTATTCAATTATAAATATATTTAAACAGTTAGAAAATTGACTTGACGATTAATATAAATTTTATTAGATAAAGCAAAAGTTTATTATTTTAAACTTGATAACCTTTGCTATAATTTTAAAATATTGATAATGAAATATAACTTTTACTTTGAAAAAACTAAGCATTAATTTAGCCTAAATAAAATATATAATAATTTTGAGGATCATTTATTGAAATTTAATATTGTGAAATTATTTATTATAAATCTTAAATTAAATAATTTTTAATCTGAAAGTTATAGTATAAAAATTTTAAATTAAAGAATGATCCTTTTCAAATATACCATTTTTTGTAGTACATGAATTAGATTCTCATATTTTATCTTCTATATATATAAATGAGGATGTTTATTTGTTTGTTTGTTTGTTCGTTATACACTCTTAGGTCGTTCGACTAATTGCTATGAAACTATGTAGTTACGTTCAAATACTTATAACTTAGATCATGTCGTAATCCCACCCCAAAATATTGATTGCATTTCTGTAAATCAATTTATTTATATCTATATTCCATTTGCTGATTTACATGTGTTTTGCGCAATCTATTATCGTTTTTGTCAATCTATTTGCAGAAACGTTAACAAAATAATAAACTAAATATAATTTTTACAAAGCAAAGATATAATTTTAAATATATATATATATTGTATTCACTAAATTACTGCCACAATGATATAGCGCGTAATAGATGAGCCATTACTGCGACAAGTAGCAGATAGCACCGGCCTGTGTGGAGTGTAGTAGTGTTTTGCCCCTATATATCATACTTTTCTTGTTAACGATAGAGTTATGTCGTTTATGTATGTAACTCCCCGTTCGGGGGGAACGTTCCTCTAAATTTTTCCCCGTTAGAGAGAAAATTTTTGTATTGAAATAACGTAACTTGCGGTACAAATCGGAAGTTAGTATATAGGTAATTTGGTCTTTTTCTCTTACGATGTCTACGTCTGGTCTCGACTTTCATCTGGTCTCGACTATCTAACTACTTTCTCGAGATTAGGTGACGACAGTCCGAATTTACAGGTCTACAATGTTTTGAATTTGCAACCCAATAATTTTTCTTTAAACGCAATATTTACGAGAACATATTTTCCGCGTAATTTATACAATCTGTTGCCAAAATTTAAAAAAAATTATTATTACGTAAAAGCAATTATTCTAGCATTTATACATTTTTTTTTTTTATTTCAACAAGTCATACAAAGTCTTTCGGACGTTAGGCTAGCAACTTCGATCACATGTGGGGCCATCACAACCCGTTCAACACGGATTAGTTTTCAAATATTAATAGTAGACAGTATTAATGAGTAGTCGTTGACCATCCTCTCTTCCGAGAGATCAGCGACTACTTTTGGTCGAATTACTTCAACCCCCTTCCGCAACAGACCCTTCTTTCTATGAGGCCAGCGGTATGGTGACATTCGAATAGGAAAATTACATAATACGAGATTACCGGCGAGCACAAAATATGTTTAAAGTGGTTTTCAAGGGTGCCAAGTTTAAATATGCAGTTCGTTTTTTCGCCAAATTTGATTAGTTGGCAGATTACAGCTTGATATTCGGCTGTAAATGGCACAATTTCTTAGAGTTAACATTAGGAAAAAATATTATTCTCCTAACCAACACAGCATAAATATAAATTTTCACTCTCCTCTGTTCCTTAGTGTAGAAAACGGAGTTAGATAGATGAAAGTCGAGACCAGATATGGAAAGATTAGAGGCAGACGGTCTCTTTTAACTATATACAAATTTTAAATAGGAACTATATATCACGTTATTTCAATTCAAATATTTTCCCCCGAAAGGAGTTAGATAGATGACCAGCATCACTATTGCTGACAATCGTCCCAGAAAGTCCAACACCCTCACCCACTGCGCTTACCTTATAAAGGTTTATCAGTGGAACCCTCCCTAAAACAAACACATCTAAATATCCTATAATTACTGTAGCCCCTATACCTCACCTTAACAACTGGACAATAAATTATAAAATAATTCCAAAACTAAATTTAATCGCAATAATCAATATAAATACCTAATAATAAAACGCCTAAAATCACTAGATAAAATCTCAAAAGAGTGTAGAATTAAAAGAATCTAAACTATAAAACAACTATAAAATGTATAAAAGATAAATCTCAAAACTTCGGCAAACGCCATTCCATCCTCATTTTTAACATAGATTTTAAAACCATAAAAACCCTATCATACAATGCCTTATTATTTACTAAATTAATATAATTCCCATTATCAATTAGTAAATCAACTTGACTTCGCAAGTTCGCCAACAGCGGGCAGTCAAAAAGAAAATGGTCCAGAGAGTCCTCTAACCCACATTCACAACAGCTATCCGTAACCAACCCGAAAGAAAAAAGCTTCTGACGGAAATCCCCATACCCAGTAAGTATCTGGGACACATAAAAATCCGGAATAACCCACGAGACCCTCAGTCGCTGCTGCACTGACGGGAAGAACTGAAACGTCACTCTCCCCCGATATTCAGCTACCCACCTATCATTCCAAATAATATAAAGCTCATTTTTAACCCTATGTAGAACGTCTTTTCTATTATATACAGCCTGATCTGCCCTAAACCGGAAGGAGCCCACATCAAAGGATCTACCAATTTTAAGTAAGTATTTTAAGCAAGTAATTAAGCAATTTTAAGCAAGTAAGTAAGTATAAGTATTGCTGACAGGAACAGTATGATGTAAAGGGGACAAACTAGTATTAATTTGGGGTAAAGAGCATTATCAATACTTTAAATTAAATAAGTTAAAAATTGCCGCCCAGCATTGTCACATCGTTACAATCAGTAATTGCTTTTTTTATTTAAATTTTATTAGTATTTAAAGTTTTCTTATCTGTAAATAAAGAAATAATTTAATAGATTAATTTATAAATTGAGTAATTTCAGTGTTTATATATATGTTATATATACACTTATACACACACACCGTATACTGTATATCAATATATTAACATATAGTAAAGTTGGAGTTAATTACCTAACTCCAACTTTACCGCTTCCATAACGCAAATTTTCCCAATGACCCTCGCACATCGATATTACGTAGGTAAAAACTATCTTTTAAATATTTTATTTTACATCACGAGAATATGTTCAAAATAAAAAATAAATAAATTAAAATAGAGTCATGCCGGTTATCTAGGTACTCGTATCAACGGATGTGATACATTGAAATATAATGTATTTTCTTGCTGGCCGTTATTTGAATTAGTGGATCCTTTTCTGTCCGCACAAAAAATAAACACTCAGTATCATCTATTAACATAACATTCTTAAAAAGTTATTTTAAATTTTACATAAGCAGTCGTTTAAATCAACAAAAAGATNCACCAACCGGTCGCCCTATTGTGGGCCTAACCGAACTCGTCTTGATGTTAACAGAAAGACCCTCTTTTTATGAAGAGTAAAAAGGATAGCCTAATAAAAAACAAAGTTTTGTAAATTCCACCAATTAAAATCAATAAAATTTGAAAGTATAAATTAAATTAATTAATCAATTAATGTTTATTATAAAGAAAGGTCTATCCGTATTAGACATTTAGATGTTTATTAGTCATTTAGTGTTTCTCAAAGTTCACCTCCTTGTGAATGCCGGCAACAACGAAAAACTTTGAATTATATTGTAACAAATTCGTCAATTATTGTTATTTTTTACACACAGGTTTAAAGCTTAAAGTGTGATTATTTACAGTTAGTTAATCAATGTGTCGCTTATATAAAAAATTACAACATTATGAAGGATTTTCTTAACTCCTAACAGCACAAAAATAGTCAATAATAGAATTCCTAATAACATGTTATATTTTAACAGAAGTGTGTTTTAATTGAAGAGAAAAAATATAAGTTCATTAAATCAAAAATATATTTGAAATATTTGAAACATCACGGCACCTAAGTTTGCTGAATTACTAAACGTGACGCTTCTATAACAGTCTTTACGACATTAGTGTCATACTTACAACGAGAAAATAACGTTATCTTTATATAGGCTATATGCCAAAGCTGGTCGATCGCAATACGTCACGACACTATACTCGAGCGACACGTAAACTACACGTAGATACAATACGAAGCTTGAGTGCGATTACATCAATGATGTCAGTTGCCAAATCATTGGCTGAGGTCACATTGGTGCACATTTCATTTTGCTTAATGTAGACGTGTGCAAAGTTTCTTCTGTGCGTTGTGTACAAATATACAAGCGGAGATCCCGAAAAGTTAAGTGGAATTCCTTTTTCATTTACATTAAATTAACCAACAGCTCGAATGACGTGGAATGATTGAAATTTGAATATAAGAAAAAAAAACCTGTACCAATCTCTAGAAAAACTGTGTCAGCTATAAATATTTACTGTCTACTCAGTCTTTCGTAACTAAGCAACACAAACGCAGACTAAATGCATTCTAAAATAATATTGGCTGTGTATTTTAAAAACACTGACTGTTCCAATTGTGTGTGTAAATACAGTATAAATATTCTCGTTTATTATAATAGAATAAACTTTAATAACTGACGAAATAAAAATCATCGGAAAAATTATACTTTTGGGTAAAGTATTCTTATTACATTTATAGTCTAAGTTTTATTGATTAGCTTATTTCACATACGTTTAAGCACTACTATTTTTATTCCTAACGTGTAAATCATTCGTATGCACGTTTTCGATGATAAGGTTAACTTAGACGAATATTAATAAAGTATATTTTATTAAAGAGTTATTTTAAGTAAAGATTGAAATGTAAGACTTAATAAATATTTCTAACTTAACTTATATTGCTTATATTATACTGTAATGAGTTCGAAAATCGAAATTTTCTAAAGTTTACTGAGGGAGTTCCCAAATATTTTAATTTGGTTTTCCAGAACGTGGTGTAGAATATATTTTTAGCTCATAAAATCTTCGGGTTTCCACGTTATGTAATTATCGAAATAGTCATTAGACACGCACAGAGATATTATCAGAAAAACTGTTAACATAATCATGTTTTCATAGAAACAGTAATAATTTTAATAACATCTAGATAATAATTTCGAAATAATTCCGTAAATGTCGTTGATGTCTAGAGAAGTACTTTATAAGGTGAATTTACAATAATTTTTAAAATATTTTTATTCGACTGCAATTTAAAAAAAAAAAAAAAAAANCGTCTTGATGTTAACAGAAAGACCCTCTTTTTATGAAGAGTAAAAAGGATAGCCTAATAAAAAACAAAGTTTTGTAAATTCCACCAATTAAAATCAATAAAATTTGAAAGTATAAATTAAATTAATTAATCAATTAATGTTTATTATAAAGAAAGGTCTATCCGTATTAGACATTTAGATGTTTATTAGTCATTTAGTGTTTCTCAAAGTTCACCTCCTTGTGAATGCCGGCAACAACGAAAAACTTTGAATTGTATTGTAACAAATTCGTCAATTATTGTTATTTTTTACACACAGGTTTAAAGCATAAAGATATTGTTTCTTAATATAATTATGCTTTAAAATGTTTATTAAAAATTGCAGCCCGGCATTATGACCATGTCACAATAAATAATTGCTCGTTATTATCGATGTTATCATATTCACTTTTTATTAACTTATAATAGTAGCAATATCACTTTATATTATTTATCAAGTATAAAATTGTATATTTAAAATATAGTGAACATACGAATTAAGAAAAGTTAGAATAATTTTGACAAATTTTAATTAAGAAGTTGGTAACTTTTATATCCTTTCGCTGGAGCAAAAAATGCTTTAAAAGACCGAAATTAAAACTAAAAAAATCTATTAAATTCAATCCAATATTTATATTGATCAATTAAATTAGATTAATTACTATTAACTACTTATTTTTTAAACTTTAATAACTGTAAAAGGTTATTTCTATGAACTTCCTACGAACCTTACTTAATGTCGGAGTCGATATATATATTCATTGTCGGGTTTTGAGTGGATGTTGCCTACTGTAAAAAATAGGACACATTTGTTTCTACTTTTAATTTTTGTATTATAGTATATAACAAAAGCCGAAAGCGGGAGAATTTGCTCATAGAAAAATGTTGACGGGATATGTCTCCTCTCTCCCATATCAATCGACAATCGTGTGCACTTAATTAAACTATCCTGGTCAATATTATTTTAAGTTATTTTGGTTTTTATGTCTTTTCTGTCATCTAGGTATGAAAATGTATATGTAAGATGTTGATATCGTAAAATAATTTTGTAACAATTATTCTAGATCCATTAATAATTTTCAGAGTTTAATTTAAACATGTCTACAATTTTGAACTTATTATTTTAAATGAATTTCTAGAAAATTAAGGGACAGAACTGCATCAAAGATACTTTGGAATACAGTTTAATGTCGACCGGATGGCGGAGGAGATTTAGGTGTCAGCGTTCCAGTCTAAGGGGATCAAATCGACTGGTCGAAACACCACAAAAATTTTTCGAACCCTCACCAACCGGTCGCCCTATTGTGGGCCTAACCGAACTCGTCTTGATGTTAACAGAAAGACCCTCTTTTTATGAAGAGTAAAAAGGATAGCCTAATAAAAAACAAAGTTTTGTAAATTCCACCAATTAAAATCAATAAAATTTGAAAGTATAAATTAAATTAATTAATCAATTAATGTTTATTATAAAGAAAGGTCTATCCGTATTAGACATTTAGATGTTTATTAGTCATTTAGTGTTTCTCAAAGTTCACCTCCTTGTGAATGCCGGCAACAACGAAAAACTTTGAATTATATTGTAACAAATTCGTCAATTATTGTTATTTTTTACACACAGGTTTAAAGCATAAAGATATTGTTTCTTAATATAATAATGCTTAGAAATGTTTAATTTAATTTTAATTTTATATTTTATATTTTTAAATTAACTTTAATAATAGTAAATATTACGAAAATGATTTTTTATTCTACGATATTTTTGCTTCTGTTTTATTCTGAGATCTGACGTACTGTACAGTACCTGGCGCCCGCGAACAACACTTTGAAAAACACCGTTCTGTGTTTAAAATAATTTTAACTGGTAAATTGATTTTATGAAACTTAATAAATTCGGTAATGATTTCAGAATTTACTATTAATGTACAATAGAACATCGTTATAAAATCTTGAATAGTACATAAAAAGTTATTACTATGAAAACGATAATTTATTTGGGAATAGATAAAATAAATCCTGAATATTTATTATAACATTTTAAAACAGTAAAAATAGTCTACGTTGATTTTTGCAATTAAATATATTCAAATTAATTGAAACAAAAACTTAGACTTCGCACAATATTGTTTATTTTAAAATAATTAGTATTCATATCAAAAGCTACTATTTCAAAAAATCAAGTGAATGTTATTCAATACATCTAGAAAAACAATATATCCATATATACTGGATATACTCAGTATATATAGCACAGGCTGAATTATCTGAATCAGTGTTGTATATTTTGTAAAACATTTTATTTCATTACTTAAAGAAACGAATTTGATCGGACTGCTCTTTAAAAGTTCATTTGTAAAATTAGATCATGGATAGGATTTCTCATTTCCCGGTCCTTTGCTTATCCCGGGATTTCGAGAAAAAAGTGAACTGTTTCCCGGGAT